CAATGATTACATTCAGGCACACTGTAGAATACAACCTCTTTGGACAATTTATATACTTATTGAAAACAAGCTACAAAATGGAATACCTTGGAAAATGTATTAATTTTCGCTAAATTGATTTATCAACTTTAAATACTTTTTAAGAACCCGCAAACCTTTTTCATAAATCTTATTCCAACACATTTCTTCTGTACTTGGTTTCAACTAGTAATAATAAGATGACAGTTTTAAGAAGATTGTGGCTTTTAAGAAAGGTGTTGTGTATTTATTTTGTTAATCCCTGACAAAAGGCCAACCCAGTAATCTTTCATTTAAAAGTAAGTAAGTAAGTTGTCATAGTCTGCCAAGCTGTAATTCAATCTCGAGTTTAAAAACCAAGCCCTTCTTTTGGGATTGCTTTGTCATCTCTTTACCGAATTATAAATGCGGAGCCTTACTTGACACCTGCAGAGAAGCTGACGACGGGGAAGAAGAAGCCGTCGGTGTTGAAGTCTTCGAACATGCCCTGGACAGGCTGCCCGTTGATCCTGAAGGACATGCTGGGAGCGCCCAGATCCAGACAGCAGCTCACCACGTCGTCTGAGTTCAGCAGGTGCTGGTTAATGGAGGCCACGGCCCTGGGGATTCGGCCTAGACAACATCAGGCAAAGAAAGAGAGAGAAGATGGATGTATCAGCAGAAAAGTCATTACGAAAGTAGGGCAGGATGATGGGCGGGGGTAAGGGGGGGGGGAGTTGAGCAGAGAGGGGGAGAGATGGGGATGAGTGCTTAAAAATGGTGGAAATGAAAAAGTGATGGGACTTTTAGTAGATTTGGAAGGGGGGGTGAACTGAAGTAGGTGTTACGCTTTTAGGGTGAGAGCAGAGAAGAGAGGTATTCAAGGCTTTGGAGCCCTGAAGCACCAGAAGAGTTATTTTTTGGTATACCTTCATATCTGTGATTTGCTGGTATTCACCTTTGCATCGTGTTTACACAAGTACAACTTAAAGATGTTAGACATTCCCTGAGGGACTTTTAAGAGACATGCCAAAGATTGAGGTTTTAATTTGATATCACCGTAAGAGCTGTGACTTGTCCTTTACTTTGTGGAGAATGAAGGAGCTACCAAGAGAGTGGACAGCAGGCTGCTGAATTATTCACAGACAAAGAAATCTGTCGAGGCAAAGTCCTTCCAAATCCACAACAGCTCTTTTTGCACACCAGTTCTTGGTATCATTTGCTGCAATGATTCAAATTTGTTTTTGTTTTTCAAAAGCAACAGAAAACAGTTTTGGGTATAGTTCAATGATATGTCACTCTCCACGTAGGAAACACTTTAAAACTTAAAAAAACCAGTTAACATTTCAAATGATACAATTCAATGGTTTAATGACCTAAATAAAAAGTTTGCATTTTTCTTTACAAAAATACTTTCTTTTTGTGTTACCAAAAACTCACTTGAGGAGCTAAACTTGAAAGTGAAGTAAAGACAGTGTGTTCACACCTTGCATACTCCAAGAAGGCAAAACAACAATAGCTTTTAAACGTGGCTGCAGATGAACAGTGAGATTTCTGTGTCTCCTAATAATAATAATAATAATAATGGATTACATTTTTTTATTAGAGCACTTTTACAGGTGCTCAAAGCGCTTTACAATTACACATTACACATATTAGACATGTAAGAGTCATTACTGTGGACATTACCCACAGGAGTAAAGTGTCTTGCCCAAGGACACAACGGCCTGACGCAGTGGCGGCCGAGGTGAGATTCGAACTGGAGTTCACCAACGCCCCTTGATCTGATGACCAACGCTCTAACCACTGCGCCAAAACCACCACAATAGGCTTCTATCTCATAACAAACTAGCAGGTGTTGCTGCAGGTCCTATATAAAGATGCCTACCTGACCAGAGGTGAAGTCCATCAAAGCTGTAGGAGTACAGGTCGTCTCCAGCACCGTTGCCGCCCCACCCCTCTCCTCCCCCGGGGTACGGAGCGTAGCCTTTAGTGTTGGCCCAGCCCACTCTCAGGTGGGTCGGCTCTCCGGTTACAAAGTGGTCCACCTGGTCGATCACCAGCTCAAAATACCACTTCTTATACTGAGCTGAACCTTCAGCCACACCCAGGAAGATGTTCGGCCTCATACTGGAGGAGATTAGAGAGAAAGATGAAGAATACAAGTCATTGTAGTCGTAGAATAATCCCATATGTCGCGTGGCAAAGAGAAATGACATCTGATAAAGCCAGCTATCACGACGCCTTGAATGGAAAGTTTGACCGTCACCTCTGAACATCATTGACGAGTCGAGTTTGAAGCAGCAGGTCTCTCTTGGGAAGCAGGTTGTCACAGATCAGATTCTGATTGGCTCTCACTGCAACCCCGTTACAAACACAGAGGGAACAGAGGACATCCAGAATCTAAAAGAGAGGAAAGGTGGAGGAAAAACTCAGCCATTTTATTGCTCTCTGTTGTTTCATAAAAGTGTTGCACAACATCTGCACCTTTTTTTCAGTTTAATGGTCAGTCGATCAGTCCGATTCTTTTGTGGCAATGCTTGTAGTGCATATTTTATAAAGAACCCTCAAGTCAACATGACCATGGACTTCTACCTAACACTCGTGAAATGACAGCTGTTGTTCGTTTACAAGGATGCCGTTTCATGCCTGGTAAAATGTACTGTGACATATAAACACTGCATATAAACATGGTAAGAATGTCAGTAACACAAGAACGTTGATAGCAGTCCACATGTCCTTTTTTCTGAGAGTTCTACTTGGTCACCAGGCAGCTTTGTATATCTGTATTTTAAAGCTGGCTCCCTTCTTTCTGGATTAAACGAGGTGTGCGGTTTCATCTTGTGCTTTTCTGTCGTGTTATGTGTCAAGTCATTTTTCCGCATACCTTGTAGTTGCGTCCATTCTTGTAAAGCAGAGAGATTATGGATTTAATGTGACCTCTCTGAATGATGTTCAGAGCCTCCGGACTTTCCACCAGGATACAGTGGAGGACTTCCAGGATCCCTGAGAGGTCAGACAGAACATGTGTGTCATTATCAGAGCAAATATATAAAGTGTACTGACCACATCTCTGCATCAGTATAATGCTCATAAGGGTTTAGGCTTTTTCCAAATTTCAAAATAAATAAAAAGTTTCCCGTAATACCTGATGAAGATTCCAGTCTCTCCAGTTTGCTCACCAACCAGTCCAAGTTGCGGGAGAATTGGGTGCAGTTGTTCCTGTTCCCACGGATCAGTGCGGCTAAACCAAGACAAGTTTGCAGAAGGTTTAATAAAAGTACATATACGGTTTAGTAAAGACGTTAATCCAATTGATCCAAGCAGCTGACTTGTGGAAAAGTCGATGTTACGACTTTTAATAAAAATGTGTCACAAGACGTCGATATTAAAATTCATGAGATGTGACAAAACTGACACCTCCCATAATGACATCTTCTTGGGATTTATATTTTGAAGCCTCGTTTGAAAGGAAGTACGGCGTTCTTTTTTCTCCAAAAAGGTTGAGGTGTATTCCCTTGTGCCCTTTCTCTGTCATGGAGGAGACATTAAGGAGTCTCCTTATTACTTGACTGTCACATTCTTCACCATCAGGATTCAGGGACACTAGACGGATTAATGCCTGTGAAACTGTTTAACAGCACTTTGTGCCCAAGGAATACTGATGGGGGTCTAATCTCTTAGAATTCTTTCTGTTCAGGATAGCTATTGTTCACATGGATAGAGCCACACCATGAGGCACGGGCAGGGATGTTCACTGTGATTATGTGAATGTGAAATAAAAAAAAGTCATAGACAGAGAGGAGACCCTGAGGGCTACACAGATAGACTTTGAATAATGGTAACATTAGCATAAACTATATAAAGGGATACAAAAAAAAAGCCACCACTAAATGACCATTAACGAATTTTAATACTTTAGTTATAATAAACGTGGCAACATTTCAATGAGGAGAATCACAATTGAGAAAGGGTTTGTGGTTCGAGTCCCATCTCATTAAGATCTTTCATCACGTTTTGCAGCATCCTCGATGATTTGTGTCAGTGAGCGGGAATCTTAAGCTACGAGATGAAGTATTTTAAAGACTTCCATTATCTGCTATTCATTCCTTATACATAGCTACACAATGTACTTTAATGCATACTTGTATCGTGACACCTGAAAATCTTAGTTTCTGTCCTCCTGTGGATATCGCCTGACCTTGCTGCAGTGACGCACAGCTCCTATAAAGCCTCATAATGCACAATGAGATATAGAGGTTTACCTGAAGCAGACAGCAACATCTCATTCATAAGACTTGGCAAAAAACGGATGTAATGAGTTTTTTCATATGTGCTAAAAGTAGTGAAGAGCATATCCTGGCATGGTATACAACCATTCTCTTATTGAAAGAAATCCTTTGTCAAAGTTTACTCAAATAATCAGCATGCATTAAGTATGTGATACAAGAGTCTTCTGGCATGTTCCTTCCTCTCCCACCATTGCTCCTGAAAGCATTTGCAAGATTCTGCTGTGCAAATCCAAACCACCAATCACAGCGGAGGCGTCTCTAACACAGTGTCATTTACTGATTGTGAAATCCAGTGTTTCCCGTACATTGATTCATTTGTGGCTGTAAAAGATCGTCCGCCACAAACAGATCCCACCATTGGTGAGCACTGTCCAGTTGGGCCGTAGAATCTTTTTATGTTCCACATTATTTTCTCACTTAATAAACTTCACTTCATATAAACTTTATCTTATTACGTGTACAATGGAGCTGATAAGCTAATAAAGCATATATATTGCTCAGATTTAGAAATATTAAATTGAATATAGCCTCATACTGACTGCTTAAATTCTCATGGCTTACATCAGCCGTCATTGTTTACGGCGTGCAGAGCAGCTTTTTATCCTCGCGCCAAAATATTACAAGAGTAATGAGAGTGAGAGTGAGAGTGCTGGAGGAGAAGTTTGAGTCATATTTCCTTCCTATGAATGAAGACTTTGATTGGCTGTGGGATCCGTTTCATCCTCTCTCATTAATATCAGCCACTAGTTTAAACAGCAAAGCTCAGGATGAACTCGCAGAGCTATGGACCGCTCCCTGAAACTGAAGCACGGTGAACTACTTCTGGATATCTTTTGGCTGCTTGTGGGACACAAGTATCCATCCCTCTCAGAGAGTGCCATCAACGTGCTTTTACAGTTTCAACTTTCCAACCTCGTACGTGTGCGAGCTGGCGGTCAATCGCATATGTCAAAAGCAAGACCCGCCCCCGGCTGTCAGTGGAGCGTGGCGCTGTCCACTACTCCCCCCACCCCCCCGCATAAAGAGACTATGCTCCCAAAAGCAGGCACGTGTCGCACTAACATGTGCCTATCATAGTTTTATTTTTGTTTTGCTGTTTAAACTGATTAGTCTGTTATAATTATTATTACGTTATTATTAATTTTAAGTTAGCATAGGCCTACCTCTTTTGAAATCCAAATGTAAAATACTAACTCAGAAGGAGAGTTGGAATGAAAATGACATGTATTCTTGTTTTAACACAGGTAGGCCTACTATTTTCAGCCAAAACAAAGAGCCTACACTTAGTAAGCCTGTTTATAATATTTCATTCATCATACTAAGAAATGGTGTTGATGTTTTTTTGGTCTGGTTTTTGTCATTATATGATTGATTATATGGTTTTTAGGATGACCTATATTTGATTATATTTTGGTGGTCTAATGCAGTGGTTCCCAACCTGGGGGGCGCGATATAATTGTAACGCAATACATGATTGTCGCTAAAAGCCTTGTCTCTACATCACAATAAAATATTTTTTTAAATGTATTAATTCATTTTAATAAAAATTCAAGTTAGTCCTGTAGCTAATAAAGGCATAAAAAGTAAAGCAACTTCCAAGAGGAGTGATTTGGGGAGGCTGATGATCGGAAGGTTGCGAGTTCAAATCCCGCCTGGAACACCACCACTAGTGTGCCCTTGAGTAAGGCACTTAGCCCTCAGTTACTCCAGGGAGAACATCCCTGTAATTGGTCATTGTAAATCGCTTTGGAATAAGGCGTATGCTAAATGCCTGAATTGTAAATTATATTCTCCGGAGAATAAAACCCACAGATGCTCAACTCCGGTGTGTCTCACTCATTAACAATGCAACACAGAGCAACAAGAACGTTGTCTGCTACAGTAGCCATGAACTCGCATGTATTTTGTTATTTGAGGGGGCGGTGGATGCGTGGGCCACCCGAATAGGTTAAGGGGCCTTTGGCTTTTCTTGCCGGTGGTGCGGCGGCGGTGCCCCCACAAATAGAATCAAATTATTTGGGAAACACTGATATCTTATTTTGGTTAAGATGCTGTTACTGCATTGTCTATTTCTCACCTCTAGCACATTTCCTACTTTGACTAGACTAGTGCTTGTTTTGGCTCCACTCTTTCCTATGTGGTGCCCTTGCCACAAACTCTTTCATTTTACAAAACAGCAACAGAATTTAGCTTGACAGTTTGATCAGTGTTTAGCAGTGACTGAGACCGTGTTAGAGACTCCTCGGCTATTATTGGTTGTTTTCGTTATTCACGCTCAATGGAATCTTGCAAAACAACATGGCAGCACTGGAGGGAAAACAGGACTTATTTTTCACAGTGTATCTATCTCATGCACTATTGTCAAGCAGAGTGGCAGCAAATATGAGTAGAGTTATTTACCAACTATAAATTACCAACTGCTTTTTGACCTGCATTAAAAAGCTGTGTGTGTATTCCTTTAAAAGCAGAATTTCAGAGTTAGAATGGAAAGGAGAAAAAGGTCAGGGAAAACATCATTCATCATGAAAAACCTGCTTCACCAGACTGCCTTCGCATCCTTGGGGGTGACCCCTCCGCAGCAAAGGGCTGGAGAGCACTCAGAGGAGTGTATTTGTGGGTTTTTTAGCGTGTGTGTTTACTGTGTGTGCATGTGAGAGTACATGCTGGGGAGGTGATGAATCTAAGGGCAGTCAAGGTGAGCCGAGGGGAAGCTGTTGATGCGAAAGCTCCAATGACAGCAAAACAAACAATAAAGTTTTCAAAATAAAACTTTCTCAGGGTCAGGGGATAATGCCAGAACCTCTGAAGGCGGGCATTTTGTTAATGATGCCATCATTTTTTTTTAGATATGCAGCTCAACGTTTTAATACTGCACCCCCAGACTGATCTCAGAGAACAATGTGACCTAAATGAAAAGCAGCCTAAATGATCAAAGAAGTATACAAGAGGCATTCTGCTTTTACTTTTCTCTCCATTCCCTTGTCCCAAATAGTTACATATGAATGTCACCAGCTGTGAACTACAGATGTGGCACGGGCAAAAGGAAATGCGAACACAGGCGTGATAAGAAGTGTGAAGTGTGAAGGGGAAGGGGAGGATTCAGTGAAGACACTAAGGGAAGATTAATACTGCATCTCTGCCCAGGGTCGTCAGCTGTCAGAAGATGTGGATATTTCATGAGATTGATCACTCAGCAGGCTTACCCAGGAGTTCATAGAGGAGATTGAGGATGTCCTTCCACGCTGTTCCGGCCTTCTCTCCAGCCACCTCTGCAAAGTGGGCAGCGCTGTTGTACAGGTTCATCCGGTCAATGCATTTAGACAGGAGGGACAGCATGCCCTAAAATTAAAGAAATCCAGGAATGATGGAATGATTCATTTGTGATTCAAATTATTACACACAAATTATATTCCTATTTGTAAGAAGATGTGGAATACTATTTCTTAAACTTCACTCAATGGGGTTAACTGAATTTTTCATCAGAATCAAGTTCATTGCCAAGTTCATTTATGGCACATTTCCACTGCAGTGGGGTAGCCCCGTTTAAGCGTCCCTAAGCGTCCTCGCTCAGGCCTCGGGCTGCCTCGCTGGCTGTCCGAGGCCGTGGCGCATTTCCATTACAGTTTAGGACCTGGGGTAGCAACGCAGTGTAGGCGGGGCGATCGGCTTTTTTTTGGCCAATGAGATGTAGGAACGTCGTCACCTCCTCGGTCGACCACGGTGTGCTTTTCTTTGACGNCAAGTCAGGACACGTAACAGTGCAGCCTAGATGAAGGTGTGCTTACCGGTGTTGTCAGGGCTAGCATGAGGGACCACTACTCACCGACACTATAAACCTTGTCCCTCATGCTAGCCCTGACAACACCGGTAAGCACACCTTCATCTAGGCTGCACTGTTACGTGTCCTGACTTGTAGTGGCTCTCTCCTCTATCTACACTCTTCTTGTCATCTTTGTAAAACGATATCAGACTGGTAATTAACACAGCCATGACTTCTAGTTAAATTCAGTGTGGCTAAAATGAAAAGCTTTGTTAAAATATGCAAGCAGGCGAAAGTCAAATTCAGCTTTATTGTCAAAATTCTACATGTGTTATACATCCAGAAATATCGAAATATCGTTTCCCACAGTGTGACATGTATACATAAAACAAAAAGGGCCTAGATAAACGTGGTATACATTAAACAAAACGGGCCTAGATAACCGGGGTAAACAGTTTAAAATGTTAATATATTTAAAGTGTTCAAAGTGCAGTTTCTGTGCAAGTCAGTTGAAACGATCTTAAATTGGCGTGACGTTAAAGTCGTGCGACCCTGCTGCTGTACTGGCTTGTAGTTCGTTTATAGCATAACGTTAGCATTTCGCTTTTGGCTACTAGATTTATGATTCAAAAATTATAAAAGTAGGGTTGACATGTGGAGATTATCCGGCTGAACAAAACGTGATCCCTCTCGTTAAATGTGTGTCAACCACAGACCTTATTTCGAGCTATTTTCCAAAATCCTATGGAGAATTTGCATTGGTTTTTCGCGAAGGAACCGGAAGAAGTTTACTTCCGGGTTTTACGACGCGTCACTGCGGTTCTCTATTGAACACTGCTAGAGAAGCTTTTGTTTTGTTTATTTGGATTCTGTGTACCACTGTAGAGAGTTATCAACATGTCTTTGAGTGGGAGTGTTGAGCATATTTGTATAATATCAAAGTCATGTTTATGTTCATGTGTATGACATCATCATAATGTGCCTGAAACGTGTTGGTGCTAATGAGCTTGCGCAGAAACAATAAACGGCTCTTACTCCAGGCCAAACTCTGAGCGATAGTGGTCGTGTGTTTTTTCTGTCCGTTAGCATACTTACACTACTTTGGCTGACTGCAAACGTGGAGACGTCTGCTGAATTATGTCTCACGCAACAAAAAGTACCAAAGTATTATCAGCTGATGGATATGTTCAAAGTATATTATCATGGTTATCCTGTTTTATCCATGTAAGAGGATAGGCGGCGGGTACTGTGGCTAGGGAAGGTAAGCCTTCCCAAATATTTTTGTCACTGCATCCATGGTAAAATTAAAATATAATGTTTGTGTATTTGACATTAGCGTTGCAATGCAGCCACCAGTGCCCTGTACCAGGGCCGTCCCTCCCTACAGGCAGATCACGGAGACTGCGTGGGGCCTCACCTCGTGGAGGGGGCCTCATCTTGCGGAGGGAGCCTCAACTGAGACGCAAATGCGGCGCACCTATGCGCTTATGCAGCGCAATTAGTGTGGCGTGGCACGGTTTCGCCGCTGCGAGGCTCCACCAACACCCCCAGTTTCGTCAACTTAATTTGTTGCTTAAAATAATACTTCTTCCTACAGTAGGCTATGTGACACTGTGTTGCACGCTAACTCAGATAAGGAAATATGATATATTGTGATATTATATGAACGATGACGTGATTGACGCGATATGAATGATAAATGCGCGACACATCGCCGTCTTCCCTGCATACGGCAGTTTAAACTGTATTTACTTTATCCTGTAACATGACTTGATAGATTTAAACTCCGCACACTGAGCTCTGATTGGTCAGCAGACAGCAGGCTGTGCTTTCACTGAGTTGATCTCTTATCTAGACGCCGGAGGCGGGCAGCGTCAGGTAAAACAAGTTGCTTCCCAAACCTGAGCCTCACGCACCGCTTTATTGATTTAACTTGTGTTACAGGATTCATTGGGCATTAAAATATTTCAAAATTGAATAAAGTATAGACAAATAACACATTTGTATTACTTTGTCAATCAAGTATTGTGATTTGTCAATTTGGACCAAATGTAGATAAATACTGTGTAGACTATAGTAGTACTGCATTATACCATATCAGTATCATTTAGGATAGGGGATGGACATTTTTCACTAATTTCTGAAATTGTATAGATTAATTATCTTAAGTTACAGGCCTATTTCTGACAGTTTGAGGTCAGTTTAAACTTCCTTTTGTAATACTTTGTTAGCATTAGTTTATACGTTAGAATTGACTTCAATGTCAGATTTCTCTGAAATGTGTCTTGATGAAATCTGATGCTTTCTTTCGTTTATTACAGTGGGATCTGGGTTGTCACAATGCATGGATGGTTCCTTTTACCACCTCCTTATTCTTTGTAGGGGTCCTGATTGGATCATTTGTTAGTGATCACTTCTCAGACCGGTAAGTCCTGTTCTGTAAGAAGAAGAATTGCAATATAATAATAATTAAATATTTATATTGTCTCACTGTAAAATGATCTTTCATTTCCATGCAACAAAACTTAAAAAAATTAAATATTAGACTTTGCTAATCTTACAGTTAGTTGCATTTTTATATACAGAATATTTGATTATAATTACGGCTTCGGCTAATGATTATTTCTATTATCGATTAATCTGACGATTATTTGCTGATAATCATCTGTTGATATTTATAACCAAGCACACTTTAATCATTCAGTTTGCATGTTCTGAACAACAGTCCATACCCACAGATATACAATTAGTGTTATGTATCAGATAAAACAGCAAATCCTTGTTGAAATTTTTTAAACGTGAATCAATTATAAAGGTTATTGATTAATCAGCAATGATTCTTTTTATTTTTGATTGATCTGTGTGTAAGTAGAAGAAAAAAACAGACACAATACCTGATGGACTGAGAGAAAGAGAAAGACAACACAAGCTCTTCCAATAAGAACAAGTCAAACAGTGTGATAGTGTATACATTCATAGCGTTTAATTCCTGTTTCCGTGCTTTGTTGTCTCACAGGTTTGGCAGAAAGCCAGTGTTTTTCTTTACCTTGGCCCTACAAACATTCACTCCTCTGATCCAGGCCACCTCCGTCAACTGCTTCATGTTCTGTATCCTCAACTTTCTAAGAGGACTTGGCCAGATCTCCAATTATATTGCGTCATTCATTCTGGGTGAGACAGCAAAAGCACTTCTCTCATTCAGATTCAGATTCAACTTTATTGTCATGACATAGTACAGGTACTAACGAAACTGATCATTCTCAAAGAGTCCCTGTCTCTGTCTCTTCTTCAATATCTGTCTGTGACAAGATGAGGTTTGCTTGTATAATTTTAGTTTTCCCATTTTAAGTTGCTCATTTTCTTGTGTAAATGACGTTGAAGGAAGCATTAATTGATTATTCAGTAGGGAAGCAGACAGTCCTCACAGTTTCTTGTGAGAACATGTGTTTTCTCTAATCTTAATGCAATGCTCCGATGCTCAGGGTCTGAGATGCTGAGCCCGACTGCCAGGATGAGCGCTCTGCTCGACCACACTGTGGGGTTTGGTGTGGGATATGCATTGCTGCCGCTGTTTGCCTACCTTATCCGCGGCTGGAAGATGCTGCTGGTTGCTTCTGCCATCCCTGGCCTCCTATTTATACCAACATGGTGGTAAGTCTGATGAATGTTGGCTGATAAATATCATTGACAAACCGTATTTCTTGTGTCAATCACTTAAATTCACTTTATAACTTTCTTTTAACCCTGGACATATATAAAAGTAAACGTTTCATAAAAGGCCACATCAAAATAACTTGAAATATTTAGCCACCTTCAATGGTTTCTGCGAACAAATGAAACTCATTCATCAAAAGTTAGAATAAAAAAATGAAACTAGAAAATTCATTTCCTGCAGAAAATGCGTGCGAATGCTGTAAACTGTGAACATTTGTTGCTGAACTTAGCTGAAAATGCAGAAAAAGCTGAATATGTTATTAGCTGAATGGTAGCTGCTTTTAGCTACAAAAATGCAGAAAAAGCTGAATATTTAAAAGAAAAGGTTTAAAAAAAGGTATAAACAACAACATGTATAGCCTTGATGTCCTGAAATAGCTGAATAATGTAATAGTTGAATGGTTTCTGCAGCTGAAAATAGGCTGAAGGAGTTAAATATCAGATGTAAGTAGTAGTGAATGAATTTGTATTAAGAAGAAAAAATAAAGTAAAAAGGCTTGGGAAAGCAGCAGAATATTTTGACTGCAAACATTTCGACCACCAATAATGTATACAATATGTGGAACCTGTTGAAGTCTGTATGAAGTCTCCATCAGACAGAAAATAATAGGCTGAGACAGTCTGTAAAAGTCCAGTATGTTTGTCAGGGTTTGTTTCTGTGCTGAGCACCTAATCGTAACAAATAATCATAACACCTGTGTGAGCCCAGAGATCAAAGCTTTCAATCTGCCCAGCAACACCATGGTTACCAGCTGCAGCACTGAGTGTCATTAAGAATGCATTGAGGATCATATCTGACAATTTTGCCACCTGTTCAAAAACTATCGCTCCTATCAAAAAATTAACAGACCGTGAGCATCAGGGAACCCCAATGAACTGATATATGTTTGTTTTTTAGGTTTTGTGTGTAAAATGTGGAGATGGGAGCAGTTAGTCTAAAGTGGACTTCTCTCTGTTCTGAAGAAAGATCCGGAACAATGTAACATGGGAGTCTATTGGGAGCTAGGTGGACTTTTTGTCACTCAGATCACTATTGGACCAGAACGGCGGGTCCGTTTGATATGATGAAGGCAATCGGAGCAAATGGGAAACGCGGTTTGGACGATCCGACGGAAGGTGTATGAAAGTCCGATCTCTGAAATAAGCGTTGAAATTTCTTTACTAGTGGTTCTGGAAGTCCGATATTTTCAGGCAAGAAGTCTTACAAAACTGATATAACAAAAATAATTTCAACTGATAAAGTTAAAGACAAATTCAAACAAATATCAATAAGATCAAAAAGAGAGACAATACAATAAAATATACCAAAACAAAAGAATATAAAAACACCAAAATAGAAAATAGAAAGAAAGTCACAGACTCACCGCAACATAGTAGTAGGTTAGTAATCGGATATATATTATAATATTGAAGATAAGTTTGCTTATTAAAGTTGGTCTGAAAGTCCTCGTTATTAATCAGACNGGGAATTATGGCAGGTTTAAAACATTTTCTGGGGAGAATTTCAAGCTGTCCTCCACTCTGTTTTGAGATCAAAGCACTCTAGACTTAACGAGCTGCTCCATCCACACTAATGTTAAAATCTGAAAAAGGCCTCTCTACCAAGCTCCAAACTAAGTTAAATATCTCAAAAAGTGTAAAAGATATGAAGAATCTGAATAACAAGTTTTTTTTGTATAGCTGAAGGTCTTGTGATCATTTTAAAGTTGGAATGAAGTCTCTAGCTGAAAGTATGTGGAAGGAGTAGCATTTGGCGCAAGGTGTAGGAAAAGAGGATTTGAAGGCTCCTCCCATTGACTTCCATGTTAAAAAAAGAGTTTAAAAAGCTGAATATTTCAAAAAAAAAGTATAAAGTATTTTTAAAAAGTTGAAGGTTTCCCGTCGATTCCTGAAAAGGCTGAATAGTTTAATATTTGAATGGTTTCTGTAGCTGAAAATAAGCTGAGGTTATGGAGTGCCAAAGTATTGGTGAAATAATAATAAGGGGAAGAATAAAGATTCAAAGAACTATAGTGGAATGCTGTAGCACAGCATTCGCACTAAATACAGAGAACCAGTTCTGCTTTTTTTTGGGTAAGTCTTCAAACCACTTGTATCACACTTTTGATTGTTTAAATGATATGTGTTCTCTGCAATGTGTGATGTTTTGATTTAATTAAATCTATTCCATGCCTTTCCAAATGAAATTAGATGGAATTTGCTATAAAATTGAAGTCTTTAATTGTTAAACTGTAGATAAATTACCTTTTGTCTGTCTGTGCAGGGTGATTCCTGAGTCTCCCCGCTGGCTCTTACAGAAAGGTCGAGTTGAGGAGGCTGAACTTATCATACGCGCTGCTGCCAAGAAGAACCAAGTCCAGGCTCCTAAGGTCATATTCAGGGCTGACGAGTGTTTGGAGCTGATGGTACTTATTCCATTTTTACTATTCATGCTGTGGAAGTGATTGTGATCAAGCATAAATATGGCCAAAACGTTGACAAGCTTTACATTGCACTGTATGCAATGTCACTATTCAGCTTCTTTTATTTATGTCTAATTCAGCAAAACACAGGTGAAGAGAGGCAGACATACACTTATCTGGACCTGATACGAACCCCTAACATGAAGAACATTACAATTCTGAGTGTTCTCATATGGTAACGTGACTTAATTTCTACATTTCTACATTTATTGAATATTCAATTATAAATAGTAAACAACTTTGAATTGTAAAAAGGAACTTGTTGTCAGCCTGAGCCGGGCACAATAAACAATAAAACACAGTTAAAGTAAAAGCACGTTTGAGATCCCTGTATTAATGTATGCAACATACATCCTTTCACCTTAATTCAGACTTTTTGTTGTTGTTGTGTTTCTGCATGACTGCTACCGCCATGGTTTTCTATGGGCTCTCTCTCAATACTAGTAACCTAAATGGAAATGTCTACCTCACCTGCTTCATTTCAGCAGTCATTGACATTGTGGTGTATGTAGCCACTTGGATGCTGGTTAATCGTGTGCAACGACCCACATTCATCTGCTCGGCAATGATGTTTTGTGGCATCATGCTCCTGGTTATCAAGCTAGTTCCCGAAGGTCTGTACACTCATAGTACAATATTGACTGAATCGGGCATCTCTGGAAATACTAAAAGACACATGCCTGTGTAAAATTGTATACGCTCTGTCTAATAACTTGTTTGTTTTTTCAGCCATGCATGTCATGTTCCAGGTGTTAGCCTTAGTGGGAAAGGCCGGCGTGTCTTCTGCTTACTGCATCATCTTTATGATCTTCACTGAGCTGATCCCCACTGTGGTCAGAAACATGGGCTTAGGGGTAGCATCCGCAGCTGGACGCATAGGCACCATCATTTGTCCTTTTGTGATCTACATGGGCAAGTGTTTTTTATTCTGTTGTTGTATTTGTGTAGCTTACACAAGTATTCCTTAAGAAAATGCCAATACCAACTGTAGAAAACAGCATTGAATCGCCATATGTCTTTTATTAATTTTGAAAAGATGAACTCAGTCAATACCTTATTTAATTTGCAAAGATATGCACCATCTCAGCCATGTGCCCTCTCAAAGCAACAAGGCCAACGTGGTTTAATAAATTGTTTCAATTGAGATTCAAAGCAAAGTCAAATCTAACAAAAGTTAAAGTCCTTTACAAGCAAGTCAAATGAAAGTTAATTAAAACAGAATTACACTAAAAATGACGATAAGAAATCAAGAGAAAACAACTAAATACATTCTGATTGTTTAATTAAATGTTGCTCATCGAGTAAAGTAAGAGTAAAACCTCTTCCCATAGAAAATAATAAATGATCTCTGTTTTTAGTAAATTAATTCAGCCATTTCCACATAACTCCTCTTTCCGGAGATGATAATTACAGATGTCTGTAATGAAACTATCTCCGCCGTCGGAATTAATTATTGTCAAGGCTTGTTGGTGATGTGCAGGGTTGTTTGGGTCGCGGGTAAAGTGTCTAGTACCTCCCAATTCTGCCGCTTTTTTAAAATGCTGCTATGTTGTTTGTTTACGTCAGTATTAAAATAAAAGGGGCTGGATGAAGGGGAAGGGGAGGGACTTCGCTATCCCAATGGAGGTATATCTGAAGGGTAACATTGACATTTATTTAAAGAGAAAATGTATCATATTGACAAATTATCAACGCATGTCCTTATGGTTTACCTTGTATTAGGAAATAATATTTTTACAGTCATTCCTAAATAAAAAAACACGGATTAGGGTTAGGCCTACATGATTTTCCCAACGTCTACTACCAATGGCTCAGTGTGTACAATCCTAAAGTGCTCTATAGTCTTCAGAAGTTGAAGAAATATAAACAAATGGCAATTAAAAAATGTCTGTGACCTTCAGATAATGAGTAAAAAAAGTAATTACAGACCCTGTTCACAAGGTTTACAGACATACGTACATGAGACTTTCAAACCCCACACGCCATGGCCTGTGCTATGAAGCAATTATAAATGTAATTCATTATACCGGTATGAAAAGTTAACTTACAATGGTTTAACAGGCATTTTCTCTTGAACACATTGTGCCTGCTGCAATAGTAAACACAAAGACAATGCTAATCACATTAAAACTGGCGTTGTGTCCTTAGAATAACCAAGTAGACCATGACAGTGCGATATATATCGATGAAGTTTTTATTATTTTACAGGCGTGTACAGTAAGATCCTGCCATACATTGTTTTTGGCACAATCAGCATCATGGCTGCTGCTGTTAGCATGTTGCTGCCAGACACCAGAAATAGCAAACTTCTTGACCTCATCAGCCAGGCCAAACACATCAGAGGGTAAGTAGTTGTGTGTGAGGATATGAATAGTGATGAACCCTAAATTAAGATACCTGACAGCAATACCTGGAGCTGTATTTAGTAAGAAATGTTGATGATTTAGAACAAATAGTGCTCGCATAAATATGTATCGGAGAAACATGTTTTGGAGAAAAGTGAATAAGAGCTGCATCTTTTAGTCTGTGATAATGTGCTTCTAACAGTTTCATCTCTCTCTCTCTCTCTCTCTCTCTCTCTCTCTCTCTCTCTCTCTCTCTCTCTCTCTCTCTTTATTCAAAGCTGCCGCTATAAAAAGGAAACAGCTACAGCCCTGTCGGATCTGATGGCTGTAAATGAGCAAGAGGGCCCTCTGCTGGCAGAAGATTACGAGTGATGAGATACAAATAAATGTTAAACAAATATAGTTTCAAATGTATTTTTCTCATTCAAAAGTAAAACGTATGTTTTACTCCAAGCAAAAGTAAAACGTATGTTCAGCCTCTGAGGTATTTTCTTAAAAAGTAACCAATTATCGGTATTTGATTATCTTCTTGAAAATATGTTTAACAGTGTTTATACATGAATTAAAAGACCTGTATGGTTTCTTTATAAAAAAACAGACTTCGAAATTCAACATTATTGTATTGTTTTTGTACACCACATGGGCGCACAACAAGATGAAACACGACATTTTTGCTAAGATATTTCTTACGTTGTACAATGGTCCATTTGAACCATTTTACTTTTATGATGCACTGCTACTGTTAAAATACATATTTGGTTTTAATTGATACAGTTTAATTTCACATGTTTCCTAATAGGCCAACACATGTACTCAATGTGACATTTTCATTATTATTTCACCAGCTTATCTAGAGTGAATAAATGGTTAAAATACAAAAGCCACTTGTTAACAGAGCATTGAAACACCAACCTTCAAATAGGTGGACATTGAGGCTTTCCTCTGAGACACAGCTGCTGAGTAAGTGGGGGGATTTCTTGAAGATGTCTAGCTTCTCACCCGTTTTGTATCACAGCAGGGGATTCATCGCCATATTACCAACCAATCAAAGCAGGTAGCTTCGCCTGGGATCCAGACCTGAAAAGCACCTGGTTTACTGAACGCCAATAGGTTTTGGTAATATGATACTACATTTCAAAATTGTTAGAGAATTTGCAAAACGTATGTTCCTATATAGGCTACTGTACATTGGGCGTACATCTGGCATTTTACACCCGCTTCAGAGGGTCCTCCTGTGTCGACAATACAGCACTGTTTTACTCAGAACAGCCCCTGTTCTGAGTAAAACAGTAACAATCACAAATATACAGTAACAATCACAAATATACTATAATAAATGTTCGCAAAAAACATATGTGGAGATACAAACACACACAATACCAATTTGGGTTATGCAACCACAAAGCTGATTGTCAACGTCTAAAGTATCGCGAGATATACTCCACGGTTGTTGTTGTTGTTGGTGATTCTGCTGCGCTCTTGTACTGCGATTGTAAATGTCTAAAGTATCGCGAGACTTGCTCCACGGTTGGTGCGGATGCTGCTGGGTTCCTGTACTGCGACGCGCCCCCATCTCTGCTGCTGATACCACAGTGTCTGTCCTTCTACAGCGACCACACACCTGCAAACGGAAAAAGGGTCAAGGATAAATTAACTAGCACTACAGCCACATTAAGGCTGGTGGTTTAACAACTGAATGTGGACACGACGCTAGCACAACGTTTGTAAAACAAAGTTGCGCTAAATGTCAAGCTAACTTACTAGCTATCAGAGGAAGTTAGCAAGCTAGCTAACGTGATTTGCTGCTAGTGATGGTCTTCTCTTTAAAACCTTATGTTGTAGCTAGTTCATCATAGAATAATTTACAAGTCACTCATTGCAGCGCAGGGGCTATGCTAGTTACGGCGAGTTATCGTGCTAACCAGTGTAAAAACCGATACATGATTTAAAACAACTGCTATTTTACAGCTAACGTTAACTCAAAGTGAATGAGGGAGAGGGATAATTTAAGCACAGATTGAAGCCAATCACGTCTAAAATGTTGAATCTTTTATTTTAGTTAAGATCGTATTGACTAGGTTAACCGTCCCTTTATACTGACAGAATATCGATAGTAGCATCTACCAGATTACAACTGTTTAAAACAGATTATAACCGTTTAAGAAAGATCCACAAGTGAAAATGGCTCCAAAAAAGAGACCATTGCCCTTAACCATTGCTCCTGCTGGCGGTGGGTTATCCACCTCCCCCAACACTGATGTTCCACCCGAGTAAGTCATTCTCCTGATCACATTAATATCCTTACATATAGTGTATGACAAAATATCTCAGTCATTTGTGCCGTTTGAAATATGTTTTTTTGGTGTGTATTGTTTTGTGCAGGGCCAATTTAGTGGCACTGAAAAGAATATTGGAGGAGTTGGACCTAGATGACCAACAGAAAAAGAGGTTGGAAGCTTTCCTCACCCTGAAGGCCAAGGTGGGCGAGTTGAGAGATGACGACTTCCAACGTGTCTGTGAGCTGGGGGCAGGCAATGGAGGAGTCGTCAATAAGGAATGCCACAAGTCTTCAGGCATAATCATGGCCAGAAAGGTGAGCTGCAAATGACACTATTCAATTATATGAATAATAAAACTGTTATTTCCGTTACTGTTCAAACTAGTGTATTAAACCTGTTAATTTGACTTGGTAAATACTTTACTGGTGGTCATACTAAATAACACTTTTTTTATACAACTTTTATATTCTCTGTTCAGCTCATACATCTTGAAATCAAACCGGCAATCAGAAACCAGATCATCCGAGAGCTTCAGGTGCTGCATGAGTGTAACTCTCCCTACATTGTGGGCTTCTATGGATCATTTTACAACGATGGAGAGATCAGCATCTGCATGGAACACATGGTGAGAGTTATGAGTTTTTTTCTTATATACTCATACCAATGACAGGTACAGAAAGCCTTTAACTGACTAGGGTCCAAGTTTCAATTTGTGCCTATTTCTTGCTAATTTTATAGGATTTTTATATTGAATTAAGAAGAAAAAAAGCCAAAACAAACTAGATTCTCTATGGCCTCCTATTAGGCGGCTGCATAGATGAAAAAAAAACATTATACTTGTATAGTATTAGGTGTCCCTAGTAACTTACTAAAAGTCTACCAAAATCTGACCACTAGAAATTTGTAATTTTTAAGATGGTGTCCAAGATGGCTGAAAATTACTTAAAATACCCTGACTCCTTCATAATTTAAGTATTTTTTTTGGATAAACTTATGTTTTGATAAACTTATATGTACATTTGTCAGTCCAATGCTTAAGAAAATATTAAACAATGAATAAAGTAAACGTAAAATACATTTAGTAATCTGAATTTTTGTGATTTGGAGTGCCTACAGTTTCCGATTTAAGTCAAACACCAAACAAAGTGAACAACAAATGACATCAAAAGCCAGTTAACATTGCAAACCACGTTCTGTTGCCCTGACTCTGCTACTGGCACGAACGCAGCACTGCTCCCCGGCAGAAACCCCTCCCCAGCAACTGCAAAATCATAACATGGTCATTTGAATTGCGTGTAGTTGGAATATGGTAAAATATTTTATTATCATGATCTAAAACAACACACACCAAATGTACTCTGTGTACAATATAATAAGCAACAAATATGCTTGAACTCCATTTGAGACCGGTTGTGCTTTTAGCGATATATCAATTACGACCTGTTCTCTTTGTTTCATTGTGCAGGATGGTGGATCTCTTGACCAGGTGCTGAAAGAAGCAAAGAGGATCCCTGAAGAAATTCTGGGAAAAGTCAGCATTGCTGTAAGTTGATGGTTATCTTCTATCTTGTAATATTACGTGCAATTACATTATTGGCATCAATGAAAATAGGGTTTGGCAGTAAGACGGTAGACACCGTGCAACAGGGAAAACATGTCCACCGGTAAAGATCTGGCAATACCATTTCCATGTATTGAACTCAAAATAAGTTGTGGTCTAAATACACATACACAATGGGCCTGCGTGAGTTATATGCTCATTTTATAACTGTTGTTTTTACATTAAGGTTTTAGGCAGTTATTGACTTGTATAATTTCTCCTCTTTTTGAAACAGGTTTTGAGAGGCCTTGTGTACCTGAGAGAAAAACATCAAATCATGCATAGAGGTACTTATTTGTTCATGCTGTTGAACACTTATTTTCTTTATCTCTAAGGCATAACATCTGGATCCTAATGTTAAAACTAAAGCTTTAGAGTGTACAATGGTTGATAAAGATGGTTCCTTTCCACTTCGTAATGGTATAGATGTACAGTCAGTACGTTTTTAGAACATACTGTATCCTTTGACCCCCCAGATGTGAAGCCTTCAAACATACTGGTGAACTCGCGTGGGGAAATCAAGTTGTGTGACTTTGGTGTCAGCGGGCAGCTCATCGACTCTATGGCCAATTCCTTCGTTGGAACAAGGTCCTACATGTCGGTATGTTGGTCCTTTAGTTCCTCCACATCACTGTGTTGCATTTGTCTCTAACTATTTTCAGTTTTTTTTAAATATAGTTTCTCACTTTTATAGTTTTTTTTATAGTTACTCACAAACGTTTCCATTCTTCATTGAACTATGTGGACCAGTTAAATCCATTTCCTTTCACCAATCACTGCCAAATCCTTTCATATTAGTTAATGCTGGAACAGGGAGCTATCATTTCTAATATTTGTTGATTTTATATTTAATGAATTCTTCTGTTTTTATCTGTTGTTTATGTTTACTCTCTAGCCTGAGAGATTGCAGGGAACCCACTATTCTGTGCAGTCAGATGTGTGGAGCATGGGGCTGTCCCTTGTGGAGATGTCAATCGGACGCTTCCCCATCCCTCCTCCTGATGCTAAAGAACTGGAGGCCTTGTTTGGACGTCCCATCTCGGGTGGTGGTGGAACAGAGACCCTCAGCACTTCACCCAGACCTAGACCACCGGGTCGACCTGTCAGCGGTGAGCAGCACACACTATTAGACCATTTTGTTTAATGGAAATCTTTAACTACAAATGTAACTTTGCATTCCTGCACCTCTAAGATGCAGCATGTCAAAAAATAAAACCTGAAGTGAAATTGCAAACTTAGATATACTCATACCCTGGAAGGAGTTTTACAAAATCTTCTTTTTCATTGTCCTAAAACATCGTCAGAGTGGGGACATAAGGTAGAAAAAGCTACATTTTAAAAGAAAAATACCTGTGCCTGTGGACTAGGTGATTCTAGCGTCTTAAATTAAAGTATTTCTTAATATGTTGACTTTAAAACACAGTTTACCTGGGCTTCTTTTACAGGTCATGGCCCTGCGATGGCTATCTTTGAACTACTGGACTACATAGTAAATGAGGTAAGAATCTAAGTCTGTGAACAACAACAACAAGCCCATAAGGGTTTACTATCTTCCTGCAAAATCGGGTTGGTGATATGAAAGATGTTCTTACGACTTTCTTCTGTATTTCAGCCTCCTCCCAAACTACCACATGGCGTCTTCACCTCTGATTTCCAGGACTTTGTGACTAAGTGGTAAGTATTTAAGCTTGTAAACTTGGTTTGGTTCTTCACACGCATCTTCTTTTTCTATTCTTCAATGGAAAGTTCTGTTTAAAAGATCCCTCTCTCCTCTTTCATTTTCAGTCTCATCAAAAATCCAGCAGAAAGGGCTGACTTGAAAATGCTGATGGTGAGTGTCCTCAGTTATACTAAAGCTTAAGTCTGAATTTAAGTTCCTGCTTATCTCTTTGAACATGTGTAACATCTGACAGATTACAAACTGTAGTTAGCTTTGTTTCATGTTGTTAAGGCAAGCATTATATTCATTCAAACTTCAGCAGAATATGTTGTTCTTTTATATGATTGTGGTTTTAATATCAGCATCTTTTTTTGTTGCAGAACCATATGTTTATCAAGCGATCCGAGGTGGAGGAGGTAGACTTTGCGGGCTGGCTTTGTAAAACCATGGGGCTAAACCAACCTAGCACTCCCACACGCACTGCAGACTGAACACGATATGTACATCTAGAACATGGTAAAGCTGATGCCTATACCCTTACACCTATACACACACATACAGTATACACACACACACACACACACAGTATACACACAGTATACACACACAGTATACACACACAGTATACACACACAGTATACACACACACACACACACACACACACACACACACACACACACACACACACACACTGTTTGCCACGTCCTTTCTCAGGTGGACCTCCGTCTATCACAGGAGCTCTACTGAAATTTAAGACAGAAAGATACAGGCTCTACAGCACTAGGGTTTCCAATCATGGCAGGTAAATACATAAATGAATGTGTTTTTTTATGTCACATTGTATAATCATTTGTTTATTTTACTTAAGAGGTTAGGTGTGTCTGTGTGGGCAAGTGATGAGTGAAGCTAGGATATATATATTTTTGTTGCATTTTGTGATGCGAGTGATTTCTACAAATTCTAAGATGCCAAGTAAAGGTACAACTTTCAATGCACCCTCCTTTTTTCCTCTGTCAGAGTTAACGTAAGCAGCATTATGAGCTTGTTGTGGTACCATTAGATACATATTTCCAACAACTGGCTTTAAGATTAGTAGACCTTCATCACTGGACAGTACAAAAACAAAGCTGCATATCCACTCGCTGAGCATTCTCAGCTGAAACAACTGATTATTTCTTTGTGGTTGCTGTAATGTTAACAACAGGACATGGATTTGCCATTGAAGTGCATCCTGTGTTGTGGCAGGATTGGGGCATTTTGCTCCTTTTGTGTTCTTCTATTTGTGTACTTCCTCCTTTAAATCTAAAGATATTGATGTTTTTTATGGTAAAATCATCACAAGATTTGTCTTTATAATTTGTCGGAAACTGTCAATAAATAGTATGTATTGTCACATGTCTTCATAAACCAGACTATCGCTTCACTGTTTTACACTTTTTTCACCAGAAGGGGGAAGCACTCGGGTGCAAAGCACTGAGGACTTCTGGTGGTATTACTAACAAAATGACTGTACACTTCCAAACAGAAATATCAAAAATATGCTGTACTGTGTGTGGTGTATCGTACATCGTATACATTACTCATGCTTATGCTTACTAAAAAGACCGTGGGAAACCGTGAATCGAAGCCCTGCTAAAAAACATTAGTCCTCCATTGAAATTACAAGCACAATGATTCATCTGTTTGGCTCATGTCTAGAGTGATAATGAAATGTCTTCCGTTAAATGTCTTTCAACTTCAGCTGAAAATATGAGGCCTCGCGCTCAGAGAAAGACGTAGTGTTGCAGTGTTTGTTGGGTGGCTAAGTCTGAGCAGTGTTGATGGGAGGGGGACTACTGCAGCAGAAAAACAGCAAAGTCTGCAGTCATTAATATGCAAATATGCAAATGAGAGGGTAATTAAGATTGGGCGTTTGTCAGTGGCTCTTTGATTGCTAATGCATTCAAATCTGCAAGGAAGGGGGAGGGGATGATGAGCTAAAAATGAGGAAAAAGAACAGATTGCTATTGTACATTTTCTTGCAAAAAAGGAGAAAAAGAGTGATTGAGTTGTGTATAGAATGTAAACACCCTATTGAATAGAAGAAAAGCCGAACATTGATGATTCGAGACATGCGTCACATTCTTTTTTTCCAAACGACAACTTCTACCAAAAACGGATACAAAAAAGAATTGTACGTATGAAAAAAGGAACTACAGTTAAATGGCGGAGCACCAGCAGAAGCCCCGGCGAAATAGAGGGGAAAAAGGGACTATGAGTTTGTGCCAAGACAATTATCCATGTACACCATCACTGAGCATTCAGCATGGCAGGATAGATCCGCCACAGTAAGAAAGAGATATCTGCTCATTAAGAGTGATGTTGCTGACCCCTATAGAGAGAGATGCTCAGGTATCTTGGCAGGGGGTGTGCAGTGGATGCATGTTGTCTGTCACAAAACACTGTTATTTTCATATTTCTGGCGAACGAGGGGCCTACAGTTCACACATGAGCACCCACTGCTGTTAGCGCTGTTTCAGTAGTCCCTTGACACTTGTACATCTTCCTCTCTGGCATGTGAAATGAGAATATGTGTACAAGGAATAAAAACAAATTAAATGTTGTGAAAAATGGGGTAAAAACAGCTGCTCTTGTCACCTTATAGCATAATAACTTTCTCACAACAATGCAGCAGCCTTGTATATTTCAAATTGCTAAATACCACACCAATGTCACCGCCCTGTCAAAAACACACTAAGCTATTAGATGGAGTCTTATTGGGAATAATCTAAAAAGGAAAAGCATGACATTAATCAGTTTGATATTTATGATATTTATGATTTCAAAATGAATTCTCAAACACTTGGGTAAGGATCATGCATACAAACACATCAACTGATTTATTTGAAATGGGGTGTTAGAAGCTCATCCCAAGCCTTTTCTGTTTGATATGCAATTTAATGAGTGTGTTTGCATTTGTGTGTCAGAGAGGGGGCTGTATTTTTCACACAGGAAACAGGAAACCAGAAGTCATAACAGGATGCCCCAGGTTTTCATACTGTACCTGATGCGTGGGTGGCTTCATGGGGGTAACCCATTTACAGAGCTATGGTGCTTGAATAGAAGAGGTAGCCCAGGAAAGAGTGGGTGTAGAGGAGGGTACACACTTGGGGGTTAGGAAAATGGAGTTCCACTCTAAATATAGCTTTTTTTGTGTTGTGCGCCCTGTTGTACAACCTTAATGTCTGTTTGCCTCCGCGCCGTTTGGCCTACTTTTTAAAAGGCAACAAACCAAACATTGTTTGATGTTTGGTGTAGAGCTGCGATATCATCACTTCCATGGCAAATACATGCACCATCTTTCCCCAGGTGTACTGTTGGAGCTTCTCAAGTGAATCTGTGACATGGAACCAGTTTTGTCATAATGAGGTTGATCTGCTCACTCAGACTGAATACTCCTTACCAAGTTACCATGTTGAAAAAATATAGAGCTGAGTTGTGCCCTCATCGCATTTAGCTGATTCTGTCTTTAACCGTGCTATTCAAAGCATGCATTGCTTGTTCTTGTTCCTATAAGTAAAATATGCTGTTGTACATTTTTAAACGTTTTTCAGACCTAAAAGAATAAGTTAGTAACCAGTCGTTAGTCCCACTTTTAATGACATACAGGTGTGTGCTTGAGTTGCATGTGTGCAAAGCAGGCTGAGCATATGTGTATATGTGTGTGTGTGAGAGTGTGTGCATGTTTGCGGACCACAAAGTGGATGGCTGAGTTTTCTCGTAAAGGCCGGCACAGATGTTATTTAGGTTGTTTCCCCTCAAACCAGTTGAGGTTTTCTTTAGAAAGTCTCAAAACAACCGCTGACATTAACTGCAGTGTTGTTTACATAACCACCAAGGTAGAGCTCATGAGAAAAACAGCAGCCAGGCCATCTTGTGAGTTAGATGCTGGTTCATGTAAACTCTTTTGATTACAGCTCAACAAAAGGAAGTAGCTGTACAATTACTTTTTCTACCACTTTCTCTCTTGCACACAGATGAAAAGACACACTCATGGGTTCCCACATGTTGCATTCCTTTTTTGACTGCACATGTTTTTGTTTCCCCCCTAGGTTTTAAACTTAATCAAAGTTCAATCTAATCGACACATTTTCACTATTTAATTATATATTGAAGCATTCTTAATATTGTTATGAATACAGTATTGGCCACTGTGATGGCTAAAAATACTTCTCAGGAATGTAGTCTATTCATAACATTAAGTAACTTCATATAGTGTCTCCTCAATCACAGGACTACATTTTGTACTATTTAACAAAAAAAGTAAATTAAATTACATCGTGATGGTTTATGTTTCAAGATCATTCATATTATAATGTAGCCTATATATTCAGTTATGGCATTTATTTATACCAAGGTCATCCCATAATCTAATGTTTTTGGGCATGAATTAAGAAAAGATATCCAATTACAATCCACCCAATGAAAAACTTTATTACGATCGTATACACTCATCTCTCACGAACACAATATTTGTAGCGCAGAGCTTGGGAACAAAATTTAAAAAAGAAAGAAATCCATAAGCTAAATAAGACAGCCCTAAAGGTCGACGATGGAATATATGTGGGCCTCTAACTTGCCAATCATTTTTTCGTTGTATCCAATTGGCCCTCCCTCTCATATTATCATTCCATCTTCCACTAGTCTAGGCTGTTTGGCTTTCCGCTGTCTTCATCCGCCAGTCAATATAGATCCCGCGAATTGATACTCTGATGCTTTTGCGTCGTGTTTACAGCCATAAAACAGTGACATTTTGCATTTTGAAAAAAATCAACGCGTCTTTACACAGGTTCTCGAAACCTGCTTCATTTTAACCAAGATTGGACATCGCTGATGTTTCAGCGTCCATGTCCCCCCGTAGGCTGTGCTGCGGAGTGATATTCACTTCATTGGAACCGACAATGTGGAGGCTGTTAAAATGTCTACTTGGAAAATGAAATGGTTACATTTGCTCTTACAATAAGGAAACGGAGCCGTTTAAGAGTTATGGTTCGTGTTAAAAACGTGTTTTTAGTTTCGTGACGAAGACGTCAACCAGACGAGGCGACGGAGGAGTGGTTCATATTGTCTTTCTTCATTTTCATCAAGCCCACAGTCCGGACCACGGGGGAAGGATCCTATCCCTAACTTTGTTTTTCTCTCTACTGCGGCCGTCGATTTCTCCCTGTTGGATGCCATATAACTGTCCAGGTAAATACATCGACACATACACATTCACAACAAACATATGCACGTCAAACAGTAGTCGTGTGTCACGTTGTTACCGGAGTAATAATCAAGTTTTAAGCGCATCGTTTAAGTTGTAACCGAGTGGCACAGCCGGGAAGAGCGGGGTCTTGGATTTTCGTCCCTCCGGCCTTAGTGAGCTGTTATTACTATAACGAGTATTAGCCTGTGTGTGTGTAATGGATTTCTTTGTTCACTTCAGTGGGTCATAATGTTACAGCACTTTAGCATATTGCTTGACCGAGTTAGCTAGCCCCCCTATGATTTTACTGTGTTTGGTACCCGTATGTCGGTTTTCTAGAAACAAACGCACGAGCGTTAGCCGTAAAAGTAGACGTTGATCGGTTTAAGCTAACGGTACAACATTCCTGGTTGAAGCTAAAATGGCTATCTCTTCCACCTGGTATCAAGATGTGTGCCTGTTTCACAAGTATAGCACTGTAATCATAAACGTACAACACTAGATTGTGGAATTAAAATACAATTTTTGTTAAAAGTATAACTATTATTTTTTTACCACCGAATGAGGCTTTACACTTTTTTATTTTATCTTGAGTAATACAAAACACGTTTCGGTCAGTTATTTCAGGGCACTTTTGACGTTTATACTAATTTTGTTGCGTTTTGACCGTTTTACTGAAACTTTGGTGGCCCGAGTCTTTGTGTTCATTAGTGCCCCATTCTCCTGCTCGACGTGAGGAGCAGGCAACAGGTTTTCAAGGCCGTTTTTAAACGTCCCGCAGGGTTTTAAACCCTACACTGAGCCATGCAACAATATGTTGTAGATAGCAGACCCTCTTTTATTTGTCGCCAGGTATGAGGTGTTGTGTGGGTATTTGTGCCTTAAACTTTTCTCCAAATGGGAAGGCCGGAGGTGGGGGTGCTCAAGACAAGCGTATGCAACTTCCATTTGTTAGGAGGGGCTAAACACTTATCCCCCATTTTGACCTCAGCTCAGCGAGAGGCAGAAACGACTAGAGTGGTGCTGAAGTTTTTTGGCTTATTGTCTGGTGTAAAAACACATTTTTCGGTAGTCACTGTTTAAAACATTGGTTATTTGCAACATTAATTACATTGCGTTGTTCTTGTGTTTCCCCCAGTTAATTTGGTGGTTGCATCCTTTAATGCCTTCAGAATCCCATGCAGATGTAGTTTC